TATATATATATATATATATAGATCGAATTTTTTTAAAATTTAACTATAATATTAATATAAGAAATTATTTAGAGTAAACTAAATTCAATGGGATTTGACACGCATGAATATGATAAATCGCCAGAAAATGCCTGGTTGTACTGAGAAAAATTTCTAATTGAAAATGAACGAACCAGGAAATTCTGATCAATCAGAATTCTGATTACTTCAACTAGAATTATAATAGATTCAATCAGAAAATTCTTGTCCATTTTCAATCAGAATTCCAATTAATGCAATCAAACTTTTTTATTAATATATATCTGTTTAAGAGGCTCCCAATTTTTTACATCTTTCGTACTTTTACACGCAGATGAGATCTCGCGTAGAATTTTGTTAAATTCGTACAATTCAATGCCCTCGAGAAAATAATAATTTCGTTGCAGAGGTAAGAATCAAGGCTGCCGACTGTTGATAACGTTGCGGAATACGTCGCGATGGGCGAAGTTGGTTCTCTATTCGCTTGGCTGTTATCGCAGCGAGCGTCGGGCGTGTCTGTGGTGCGATTATCGATTAGCCCTGGCAAATCCACTGAGATGGAAAATGAAATAGCCGCGCACCCCCGTGCTCGGCTCATCGACGGGGCGTCAGGGAAATGCGTGATCTATCAACCCTATCGGCGTTACACTTGCATTCTAGGCTCGTTGAGTTGCCACGCGGCGGACGCCGGTAATATGTTTTAATAATGGGAACATAATGCGCGTAAAATGCACTGCGCGTCGATACATACACTCGTATCGAATACCCGACAGTATGTTTTATTGGGATTATCAACGTACACGAGAGAGTTGCGATCTCAATGTCGTACGCTTGTTTCGCACCCAGTCAATATGATACCTGCCCCGCCGCGCATCCGCCGGGGAAATCCGACACACTTTTGTTTGCACCATGCCTGAAATATTAAATGAGCGCTGGAGAAACGCACGATAATTATTGCCGCGCAACACTAAAACGCTTGTAACATTGATGCATCGAGCGTCGCGCATGTATGTTTATCTGAATTATCCTCTTATGAACGAATAATGGAGAACTTGGCACGGCTCGCTGCCAATATTATACGTGCCCATAAATATCACATTTCGAGTTCATCGAAGATGATCGAATAATTAAGCCAAAAATTATTGCTGCCAATGGATTAACAGGCATTTCGACATTGATAAGTCCGATATTATATTAGTCGACCATGCTCGTTCGACAAAGACCCAAAGGGATAAAATTCTCGTTTCATCGCGCGCCGATTCGTCGCGCTCACCAACGATTTAATTTGCTTTCAACGAAGCTTACAACGACGAGTAATTATAACGTTGCTCTGAACGATAAGCTTACCTTGTCTTGTCGGAGCAAATTTGATTTCACGAGCAAGGAATCGTATTTGAATTCCTTCGTGCCATCTTTTTTCCTGACGGTCAACGATGTCAAAGACACCATGTCCAAAGTAGCAAAATGACGTTCGAATGTCCGTTCAGTTGTGGAAGCACATCCCTCGATGCCCGATGGCATCGCGACATGTAAAAGATCAAAGCGTCAGACTGCGAAGACATGTGCTGGATGATGCGTACGCGACGGGGAAACGTCGCTTTATGCCTTTTCAACCCATTCCGCTGTTGTCACTCGAGAAGTAGCAAAGATGTTCCAACGAGTTCCAAGGAGGAGTTACGAACTCCCAGCCCTCAATGTTAGTTCTCGTTCGCTTTCTCGCTACACCGCCAGGGGAGTCGGTTGTTACGAGACGCGATTCCCCATGCTGGAATCACAGTCTGGGTGAGTGTTACATCAAACTAGTAGAAACGCTTTTCCCTCTTGTTTAATCGTCACTAATGCTGGCACGGTGTGCTTATATTCAATTCACCAGCTGTGTATGTAGGTATTTTATATTTTTCATTATTCTGGCCAAATATAGATCATTTCGTCTAATCTAATCTTTCTTTTTGCTACTTTTGAGTAAAATATTAAATATACTTTTATCACATAAACTCGAGTGGTCTATTGATAGAAATGAATTGACATTTGGATTTGATAGAAATAAATTCTATGTTTATTATATGAGATCCTATATTTTTAAAAAATAAATTCTATATTTGTTATATAAGAGTTCAGTCATATTAATTTTGTCTCATTTTCATTATTTTAAAATTTATTAATATAATTTTTTTGTATTAATAAATTTTATAAAAGGAGAAGGGGAGAGCCAGGGGGGGGAGAGAGAGAGAGAGAGAGAGAGAGAGAGAGAGAGAGAGAGAAACTGTGTGTGAAATCAATTCTCATAATTGAAGAATTGCCCTTCGACATGAAAATGCAAACGTCATAGTTAGCCGACAGGACATTACTTTAAGAAACTTGAGCTCTTGGAAATAATTTTCGACCGGATGGGAAACGAGAACTTCACGGACTCGCGAAAGTTATTTCATACTACTTTGATGCAGCGTGCTCCGCTCGACGAGGCTCCCGGCTTGGCTATACAAAGACACTCGAGTTTCGAAGTTGGTGGATTACAACCAACTTCTCCCGCAATATGTAACTTATAGAATTTACAGATACTTCGGCGGAAACGGTCGAGAGCCATTAACCGTTCTCGACATGTTTCCTAGACCCAGAGAAACATACTTACTACATAAGCCTAATCTAGACTAGTGTCAAGTCTCTATCTACCTTGTTCACGCTGAAAATTCGTGTTTTGCTCGTCAGATATACATACGTTAGCTGATAACTGTAAAATTTTATTTTAC